TCACGGACACGGACTCGTCTGCAGCGACCGGTGCTGGCGACCACACGACCTGGCCCAGCGCCTCGACCTCGCTGCTCGACACCTCGTATGTGCACCGGACACAGCGCTGGAGATGCACACCGGACGACTTGATGGACGCAAACACGTCCGCTGCCTGTCGGTCCGCGGTCTCAATCGTCATCGCACACGGAATAGCCGTGCTGCGGGTGTAAGTGAACTATCACATGATCGAGTTCAGACTTGGAAACAGCAGTTCAGATCAACCGCAATCTTGTCACGCACAGGTTTGGCAATGTATACCTGTGCGTGCGATACGAATCAGATGGACCTTGGAAGCGGTATTAGAGGTGCGCACGCTGCATTTCACCGCGATCGCGCGTTCTCCGAATAACGTCCCCCGGAATTCCACCGGATCCAGTGCTCGCCATCCATCTGGATCTTCGAAAGGCCCTGGAGCTGTCGTCCCATTCCTATACGCAAGCTCGCGCCTTGGAGAAGGCCGAGCTGGCCGATCAGTCGTAAAATAGTTGAAATGCGCCACAATCCTGGGGTCGATATTGAAGATGAGGACGTCCTGACACACCGGTCGAGCGGGACTCGGACTCACCGGTCATTCGATTGGAATTTCCCCTTCCTCTCGATCAGGAGCACGAGATAGTAATCAATCGCTGCCCGCGAAAAGCGCTCTTTGAAGGTGTGCGGCATGCGATAAGGCTGCTGCCCCTCTTCGGCGCCAGCCACGACGAGCTCTTGCGTCGGAATGGCGAATTTCCATTCATAGTCCCCTTTGAGTTTCTTGTCCCGCTCGGGGCCCCCGGCTCCGGGACCCGGCGCGGACGGATCCCCCATGGACGGATCCCAGAGCACCTTTTTCACGTTCAGGAAATTCGAGCGCTGGACCGGCTCGCCGGAAGTACAGAGGTCGCCCCGGATCTGCCGCAGAGCAATCAGCCGCCCAACTGTTGCGCGCGCGCGCGCCGATCACCCGAGAGCAACCCACTTGGAGCGTGATCGCCTTGACGGGATCGGGCGAGCGAGCAAAGAGCTTAAAACTTCCGGAGATCGCGGAGCCGGCTACGAACACCGGCGCGCTGACGCTGAGCTTTGAGTGCGCTAGGATCGTGAGCGTCGCGGAGGGTTTGCTCCAGTAGTTTCGTATATCAAAAGTGTACTCCTTGGGATTAGGATCTGCGAGCGGGTTACCAGACTGCGCAAACATGTCAGTCGGTCGAGAAATTGTAATTGGCGCAGTCTGAGCAGACTCCGTACCGTGGCCTGAGAGGGCTCCTGGAGCTGCCCGTACGCCGGGAGCTCATCCGGGCTCGTCTGCAAATACGTCGGGGGACTCTGAAGTGAGGTCATGGAAGAGGGAGGAGCGCAGCCAGGGCAGGTGTCGTCGCACAGCGCGATGGTCTGTTGACAGGTTGACGTGCGACAAGTACATACGACGCACTAGCTGGCTACACTGCCGAGGTACGAGCTGTCTAGGATAATGATGCCCGCGCCACCTGCTCTTCCAACCAGGCCCAGAGCTCCGAGCCGGATTGAGGATCATCGACATCAGCACGTGCATGGTTCACTTTGGCCCATGGCGAAACATACTGAAAATCGACGGTCAAAACATAGCAGAGGAAACAAAACCAGGGCACGTCTTACTTTTCCGTTCAATTGCGCTCCTTCTTCGGAAGTGCCCGCCCACAGCTGGGAGAGCACACCCCATTTCACGGGTCGGATCATAAGGATATTCTATGAAAGATACACTGTCAGCCACAAGCATGAATTCGCCCAGGATGTGACTAGCCGTGCCCAAGCGTGCCATGCCAGTAGCATCTTTGGCAAGGTCCGTTCTTAGATTACCTATGTGAGGAACGTTCAACATTGCCATGCGGCCAAATTGAGTGCGAACCTGGGTTAATAGACACAGAAACAATCCCCCTGTCAGCATATCTCCTTGCCAGTTCTGCGGAAAAGACGGCTGTGCCCTGTGAGCGAGGAGCTTAGGGAAACAGGGCATCATCTCCGAGGACACGTGCGAAATACCCATTTGCTCTGCGCATATAGATCTGATGGATGCGATTTTCTGCGGACTGGGCCGTCTTTGAACGACGCGTAGTTGATGACGGCAGCGTAGTGGATCATCGAGGTCAAGTTCAGAACACGGCCTGTTCCAGGTGTCGACGCAGCCGCGGCTTCAAGGGCCGGAAGCAGGAGTTTCGTCAGGTAGAAATGACCTGGGTGCAGTCAGACATCGATCGTCTGTCGCTGGACTGGCGTACCCAGAACATTCGTGCCAAAGGTAAGATCGTAGCCTTCCGGTGTCACTAATTCAATGGGAGGGACCATAACACCGCTGAAAAGGTTATTTCCGAATTTTCTGACGATTATCTAAACACTCACCCGTTATTGTAGAGGATGTGGAGACGGGACTCCTTGCTAGATGGAGATTGCGCCTCGGTCTATGAGACAAACTTGCGCACATTGAACAGACCTTAGAAACTGCTCGGTAGCAGCCTTGATGGAAGAGAGACTAGATAGATCACATTCTAGGAAAACCGCTTCTTTTCCTGTCACTCGGAGCAGCTCTGCGATGGCATCTTGTGCTTTCGCGCGACTGCGACAAGCCATATAGACAGTAGCGTTGTGCTCGAGCAATACCTTTGGAGAGAGATGAGAATCAGCTTCAGATGACACGCTACAAGTTTCTGCTACTAGCCCGAGCAGTTTCCTTCCCGAGTCCCGCATTCGCCCCAGTGACAATAGCAACCTGACCCTCAAGATCAGGCATGTCACTTTCATTCCAGCCAGGTTCGCCGAGGAAGTATGACTGGCGATACATATCCCATATGTTCCTGGGAGTCATTCTGGCAAAAGAGAATGGAATCCCCATCGTGCGGGGTGGGGTAGTGATGGTGGAAAGGAAGGAAATGAGATCAAAGTCAAACACTACGTTCTGATGCGATCATTACCGCGTAACTTCAGGTTCAAGTTTGCACACATGGAAAGCTACAGACAAAGGTACGCAAAGAATGTGACGAAAAGCAAGCTTCTTGTCCTTCATGCGCAAGATCGTATCACGTCGCCGTGCCTCCGCGTCCGAGACATGTGATCGTGTACCCTGAGATCACGTGAAGAAGATCTTCCTTCGAGAATCCAAAAAGCATATGTTTGCATTGATGCCCAGAAGTTGAGCCTCTGAAAAATCGGGAGGACCCTTCACCCGAACCTATCATCGCACTCGAATTATAAAACTTGCTACGAGACTGCGAGCGAAGACAGAAATTATCTAATCTAGCCTTTGAAACTTCGGTCCGTTTGATCCGATCGAAGTCTCATCGTTCTTACAAAGGGCCGGGGCTCCCAAGAGGAGTCGACTTTCTTCTGAACCACTATGCCGCCCGGATTTCTCTTAGTTACGTCTTTGCCAGGGCCCAAGGTGACTCTCGATGAGTTCCAAGGTAGGGACATGCTGCCTCTCGTTCCAGCTGCGATGCCCTTCACATCTTCCGCGCAATAGACTGGTACAACAACGAGCACGTTCCGCTGCGCCTGAATCACCTGCCGTCTTTCCTTACCGGGGCACGCTTCTCTGCCGCGGATGATCTCACGCCCACATGGCTGGCTGTGTACGATATCGACGATACCGCGACGTTCAAGCACGAGAGCTACACCCGCTTACGTGCCAACCGCAGCCCCCGCGAAGGCGAACTCGTGAAGCGCCTGGCGATCCTCGATCGCCGCACGTACGAGCTCGTCGCGGACTCGGGGGAGTCCGCACTCACCACGTCGTACAAACCCGAGAACCCGACGCAGTATCTCGTGACCCACTCGGTGAACTTCCCAGGCGACGAGGCCGCGTTCGGCGCGTGGTCGCAGGATCTGTTTGCGTCGCTCAAGGGTGTCGACGGCTGGGTGCGATCGCGCACGTACAAGTGCATCGATAACCTGAAATCGGGTTTGGCGGTGCCCGAAGGTCCGGACGCCCAGGTGGTTCCCAAGTACTTGGCAGTCCATGGTACGTGTTTGCAGTCAGTTCTTCGTGGGTGGGCGTCTGACAAGTCTTCTCTCGCAGAATTGCTCTCTGCGTCCATCGCCCGATCGGCTGCCTGGGCTGCTGCTTTCAACCCTGGCGATAAAGCTTCGCTGGAAGAGTCTCGCGAGTGGAATCTCTACCGAGCTTATCCTTGTGTCGCGCAGGGCAATCTCACTGCTTGACCCTTCCAGCAAACAAACAACGAATACAATGTAGAGTTTATGTAAAACCCGAATGCAGCAACAGATTACTCATGCTCTGTCCGGTGGATCTCGCATGTTCTTCCGCGTAATGAAATTCCCAAGGCGGACGATTTGCACGTTCCCGTGCCGATATGTAAGCTGTGCTGGAGAATTCGATAGCCAAACTCCACTCCAGTTGCACGCAGCTCCGTGCTTGCTGTCTCATTCATTCATTCATTCATTGCGAACATGCGTCCAGCGATAAGGCCTGGCAGTCTGGAGTAAAAAAGAAGATGCATTCCGAGCGAATTATGTGCTAGGTGAAGGTATGGTACTTTCGGGGGACTGGGCCGGCTAACAGGCGCAGCCCGATAAATACGTGCGGGTCGTCTATATGAACTAGATGCTACAAGGAGTCCGGGAATATACGTGACAGATAAAGAATAAACGGAGAGTGTCTGATCCACCGCAGGGCCGTGGGAAAACGAAGGAGCCCGGGTGTGTTCGATAAACAAGTGTCAAATGGCTGGTATGTACGTGCAATGGTATCCGAGGTGAGAAGGTGGCTACAAAGGGCATGCAGGCTTCCGAGATCGGAAGCAGGGAGGATAAAAAATGGTCATCAGCGTGATATAGAACAGAACGGGTTTCGGAGCCGGGGCGGCAGAGTCGTAGTCAGAGCGTAATTCAAGCGTGGGGCAAGCGTCAAAGGGCGTAATCGTGAAAGGTCAGTCAGGGTCATCGGGTATCGTTTGCGGTCATGGATTAGCAAGCCTAGCGCTCGCAGATCAGTAGTCATCCTCAACCGACAGGCGGAAGCCGTGCATAGCAGGGCCATTACGTGACGGTGATCGGCTAGACGAGTGGTGGAACTTTTTGATTTCGTCGGGCGAGTTCGGTCGTGTGTTCGGCTTCCACAGCGCGAACATCTGCGCGTCGTGTTTTTCGTCGCTGATCGAGCGAGTGATGCTCGGGACAATGACAGGGGTGGTACGGGCTGTGACATGCGTCGCTGACGCTGCGGAGCCATTTGCATCGGCGCAACCGGCGCAGGCGTCTTGGAACGCGCGCTCAGCGAAGTATGCCGTGTTTGGGTTGGCGTCGTGGCGCCCGCACGAGACATCGGGCGGGGAATCGACGACGCTAGATTGGGTGCGGGAGTGGCGGATCGGGTCGGCGAGACCTCCATCCGCACACTGCTCGCGCGGGCTAGCATATTGGGCCCGGGCGTCTGAGAACGAGCAGCGGGTGTCTGTGCACGCGCTGCTGCGGCTGAAGCGGACGAAAGAGGTCCTGGGGTTTGCGATCTCTGATGGGCGGGAGAAGGCGTGGTGGGCCGCGTCGCATATTGCGAGGCGGAAGAGATCGATGATGTCCGCATGTGGGTGCCATAGCGCGGCATCGTCGGTGGCGGGGAGCTATACGGAGATCGCACAGGTGGTGGGGATGGTGATCGGTGACGATTGGGTTCAGGCATGACGGAGGTCGGCATCGGCGGTGAGGAGGTGTGCTGGGCACCACCTTGAGCCGAGCCAGCTCCTGCCGCAGACCCTGGCATTCCTGTATCTTTTGGTTGTAAGCGGCACGCTGTGAGGAAAGCATGCGGTCAGCATGAGAACAATGGGCCGCAGTATCATGACTCACTTGTCTATCGGCACAGCGGAAGAGAAAGAAAAAAAAAGAAAAAAGAGTCAGGACGAGTCATCGGGATAGAAAAAGATGGCATACCGCTTTAATTCGGCATCCAGTCTATTATTTGCAGCCTCCAGCTCGTCGAGCCGTGCCTTCATTGTGGCTTCGACCATTTTAGAGTTGCGGCTAGCATCCGAGTGTGCGACATGGTTCATAAGAATAGCGCGGAGGAGGGCAGCACTGAGTGTCAAGGCCGAGATCTGTGTAGGACAGACATATCAGTGATGATGTCGCAGACGAAGGAGACGAAAAAAGATGGGGAGCGGGTAACAGACGGCGACATGAAAAAAGAGTGGAAAGAGGAACTGACATCGTCTTCTGGCTTGGTCTCGTTCATGAGCCAATCTTGCAGTTCATTGTGGAGCGCAGTAACTTCCTCTACGGAACATCTTTTCCCAGCGACCTTCGCAACCTTAGCCTCGAGCTTGCGAGCGTCCTGACGTGAACGAGAAGAGCCATCCGGCTGCATGAGCCTCTTCAGCCAGGCATCCGTCATCAAGTCCGGCGCGGGGGCTGCTATGTCGGGAACTCGCCGGGGGGTCGTCCACCCACTTGTATTGAAGTCCATTCGAATAAGGCGGACGGCATCGGTTTGAAGGTTCTCTGCAGAAAGGGCAGGCAGGAGAGGCGCGGGAGGTCTTTTGGGCGATGTTGTTGCAGCAGCTGGCGCAAAGAACATGGCCTGAAAAAAAAGTGGCATCCGCCTCGCAGTGAGAAAACCTCAAAAATGGAGAGATTGGCGGTGGCGTACCACACGGGATAGAATGGGGGAGACAATGGGGCCCGTATTCATCTGCGCAAACGTCGCAGGACGAGCCTGGGGTGAGGGTCAGCATAGACCAGCCTGACGCCCTCGACGAGCAGAAAGAAAAAAGAATTGAAAGGGCAAGGGCAAATCTCGGTTAGTGTGTCGCGATCATGAGTTATATATTTAATGATCGGGGATACGCTAAAAGGAAAGCAGCTGAAAACTC